CCCAAGGTCAAACCTCCAGCTACAAATAATTCAAATTTTATCTTCTATGGCCATAGAATAATATTTATCTTTAAATACTTGAAGAAATAACAACAAAACGAGTCAAAGATATTTTAACAAAATTATATTATAGTTAATAATAAAAACAATCACGCTAAATAAATTTGAGTATTTATCATTATTTAAGCTTTAAATAAATAACATTTACGTAAATGAGATATATTAAAGAGCATCAATCAAATAAATGGCAATGATAATCATTATGAAATAATTAAACAATATAAAATATGAACATCTTAATAATTATTATGAATAAAAATAATCATAGGTTAAGCAAATAAATGAGGTTAGAGACACCTCACTAGATAAATACACATAGAAAATAAAATAAATAAATAAACATAGTAGTAGATAAAATTTTAAAGAGATAAAGTTCTTCTCCCCCTCACCTTACCTTAAGGTTGTTTATCTTTCTTTCTTTCTCACTTTTCTCTTTCGCTCTCCGTTCACTATCTCTTTCTTTTTTTTTTCTTACCTCATCTGGTTACGTGTATCGTGGTTACGTGTAAGATAAACTGCAAGTACACAAAATCATTACAGAGATAAGAATATTATCCCAAATCAGTGAACAGTACGAGCTCTTATTTATCTATAAATAGGGGAGAGAGAACGAAATCGGGGTAAGAAAAAAAAAAGAAAGAGATAGTGAACGGAGAGCGAAAGAGAAAAGTGAGAAAGAAAGAGAAATATAAAAAGAAAGAAAGATAAACAACCTTAAGGTAAGGGGGAGGAGAACTTTACCTCTTTAAAATTTTATCTACTACTATGTTTATTTATTTATGTTATTTTCTATGTGTATTTATCTAGTGAGGTGTCCCTAACCTCATTTATTTGCTTAACTTATGATTATTTTTATTCATAATAATTATTAAGATGTTCATATTTTATATTGTTTAATTATTTCATAATGATTATCATTGTCATTTATTTGATTGGTGCTCTTTAATATATCTCATTTACGTAAATGTTATTTATTTAAATCTTAAATAATGATAAATACTCAAATTTATTTAGCGTGATTGTTTTTATGATTAACTATAATATAATTTTGTTAAAATATCTTTGACTCGTTTTGTTGTTATTTCTTCAAGTATTTAAAGATAAATATTATTCTATGGCCATAGAAGATAAAGTTTGAATTATTTGTAGCTGGAGGTTTGACCTTGGGAATTTAAATGAGTAAGGAGTAAGGTTAAAAATCTTTTTGCTGGTTGATATTATAATGTTCATTTATCCTGACTAGTCAGTGCAAGTATAATTCAAATTTTTATATGTATATTTTCTAGTATTAACTATTGCTACGCATGTTAAGTGATTATAAATATTTCTTTGAAAATTATTCTCACTCCTTATATTTCTTGTTTAAAATTTGTATTAATTTATATAATATATATAAATAAATAAATATATATATATATATAGATGGATGCGCCCAACATTCCAGGACCTTTTCCCTCAGTGATATCTGCAGTATTTTCTGGAACTACATGGAGTGTAGATGCGGTAACAAACGCAGTCACATTTAATGGAGTGGCGGTGTTGACCTTTACCTTCTCTCCAAACCAAGAAGTCCCTGTAGTGATCGACGGCCCAATAATAGTCACTTTTTTTTTACCGCCCGCTAACCATGTGAATCCAATTGTAAATTTGTTTCAAACACCCATGTAAATATTATAATAGAAGTAGAAAAAGAAACTAATATATATATATATATATATATATATATATATATGCTAAAAACTTATTTTGGTCCCTTATAATAATTGTTTGTTTCAATTTAGTCCCACTTTTATTTTTGGTCTCAATTTGGTCCCTAATAAATTAATTGATTGCAATGTCGGATATTCGTCCAAATTATTTAAACGGAATTAACTGTTGGCCACGTAGATGCATAGGTGGATGCCACATGGATGCCAAATTTCTTGAAAATACCTGGAACCAGAACGACCCATTTTGAAACCAGAACGGGCCGTTTTGGGTGCACTCTTAGTGTGTTAATTTTGCATCTGAAACGGATCGTTCCAGATGCAAAATTAACACACTACCAGTACAGCAGAACGGTCCGTTCTGAAACCAGAACGGGTCGTTCCAGAGAATATTCTATATTAATTTTATTCAAAAATATAATAATTTTGAAAAATATTTTTTATGGTAAAATTTTAAAATTACTTATTTTTATAAAATACAATTGTCTTATAAATAGAGCGATAACTTTTCCTTTTTCTCTTTCTGTCCGAAGAAATATTTAAGTGTCACTTTATAATTTTTTACAACTTATTTAAAATTAGAGGAATAAAATGATAAAAATTAATAGGATCAACATAATAAAATTATTAATTTGTTTTCTTTTAGTGTCCTCTAAATTTTTACACTCATTTAAAACAAAAATATTTTATATGTTAATTTGAATTAATTTAA